TTAGAACGTCCTGTCCTATCCTGAAGTCCTCCTGATCTAAAACCATTAGAACTCAGGGAAAGGTTAATATTGCAATTCACAGGCCAGTCCAAGGACAAGTAGCCTACCGTCATAAAAATGACCAATTAAAGCTTCAGGAGCTTCGTGCAAGTGCAGGCAAGTTCCTTGTGATGCTCGTTAACGCCATGATCCAAAAATCCAGTTTTGATCAGAAACAAAATAAAATACTCAATTTGGAAGAAAGAGATACTAAGTTCATGCCGACTATTCTGGTATAGTGGTCCAATTCTGAAGCTTGTATCTATGAAAATAAACCAAGCACAATTCATATATGCTTTAGTATTGCCTAATGTCTATCAGAAGACTATGGCTATTGAACATTGCGTCAAGGAGATCAAATAGCCACTCTGACAGTCAGGTGGCTCTAAAACCATCTACCCCATGTACAGTAAAGTCCAGAGACGTTTGGCATTTCATCAAGACATTGAGGACAACAAGAAAATTACCTTTCCTTGGTACCAGGGCAACGAAGAGGTCTATAATTATCAAAGGTAAGTTCGAAGAATAAACGAACGATGAATGAATTCTTTGGCATACCAACGTACACATCAGACAATTGGTTAGGATTAAGTGCTCGATTTATTGGCTTTGTATTGCAGGATGCATATTCATTAAATGGCCATGGCAGAAATTAAGAAGGTCACTTCCGGAGGCATATGTACACCTAAACTTAAACTTCCAGCCGTGCTTATTTTCTTGCGCCTTGTGCTTAATGTCCAGAACTTAGGTCTTTCTATGAGTACGTTTTATTTCGAAAAGCCTGACTGGTGACTAGATGGTTGAGATCCTTAACAGTGGAACCAACTCTTGACCTCTTGCTACTCCAGCTCTCAAATATACTTGACTTATCATTTCAATTATTAATCTTTTATAGTACTCAACTAAAACTAATACAATAATAAACTAAAAATAATTATAGTATTAGTTTACACATTGGGTTAAATGGCAACTCGACACCGTATTGCCATTGTCTATTTACACGCCTACATAAATTATAAATAAATTCTAAATTTATATTAGTAATATAAATAAAGACTATCTATCTATGATGCATTAAATAAACTATAACCTAGACATTTTGGCCGTTCAGATGCCCGTGCAAATCTCACTTTGTCGAAAAAATATAATATATAATGATTAAGTATATATTATATAATATATATAATGATAAAGTGCGGAAAAGTAAGTAAATATGAAATATCTCAGCGTTTTGTATCATAGTGATATAATTATGAGAAAAAAGAGGTAATCATGACTGGATGTGATATCATGGTGAATTTTATAAACAGAAAATATTTTGTAATTTTAAAGATTATTGTCAGGTCCAGAATAAACTTTGCCTGTCTATAATTTTTTTTCCAAAATGCATTTTTTTAAAACAATTAATTTGTAACGGCAAAAAAAGAAAGGTCTTTCTTTGCAAAAACATTGTGTACCCTTGAGAGAGCTTAATTAAAATGATTAAAAACAAAATTAGCTTAATTAACTTTACTGGAGAATAAATGAAATCCGTTGAGATTTGTGGCAAATAGTTTCGCTACACGTGATTTTTTCCCAAGCATAAACAAATTATCGATTAGTTTCTAAAGTGCTATAAAATAGTACAATCTATCATCTAAATTTTTTTTAGTTATTTGAAATAACACTCTATCGCGGTTCCGTACGATTTACTTGAAAAAAGCCACTACCCTAATTTAGAATTTTCCATTAGGTATCCTTAACCCCTAAAATATTTTTAGTTTATTTCGAACACTTTTCCCGAGCAGATTTTGCCGCAATGAAAAAATCTTAATGTATTACTATGAACACAACGTTATATTGAAAGCAGTGAAATAGCCATGCGAGCCATGTTTCAACTTGACTTAAACATAAATCATTTTTGTCTAAGAATAAACATAAATTGGTAATATGTAATACATTTATAACAACAAGAATAGATTGTAGTTGGTCGGTATGTTCCCACGGTCGTTATGTTTGAAATTATTTGGAAGAGGGGAGAATGAAATGTAAAAATGAACAAAGTAAATCAAATCTTCCCCAATCCACTTTGATAAAGCAGGTGTTCGGCTAAGCACCATCGGTCCCCTTTTATATTCACTATACATTTCAGACATTTTTATCGATCCCGTTTCAGTACGTCTCCGATATGCAGACCATAGCTCTATTTCAGCTAACGCAGACCCAGTAATGGCCTTCAAAAACCTCCAGGACCATCTCGTCTGTTTGGAAGAAAATTTCAAGGAATTGATGATTAGGCTTAACCTAAATAACGCTTTGACAACGCCGGCATTCCTTGAGAGGAAAATAGATCTTCCACATTCGCTATACCAAGTTGTTGTTCCTCAATGCAGCATCCCTGGTTCCTTTCTGTATTCAGTATACAGTACAGACCTTTTTATCGATCCTGATACGCCTGAGTACTCCTCAGATATGCAAACGAAACTGTTATCTTATCAGCAAACTTTGGCCCAGTACTGACTATCAGAAACCTCCAGGAATCTCTGCTGCTTAGAAGAATGGTTCAAGAAATGGAGGATCTGACTTAACAAAACCGAATCACAACAAATAACCTCCATTGGCATTCCTGGAGAAGAACCTTCTTTCCCATCCATTATGACGAAGGGGGTGATCCGACAGGCTGGCTTCTTACGCCCCGTTCTGATTTCTGGAGACATTGCTATCAATCATGATTCAGTACTCCTCACAGATGCAGACTATAGCGTTAATTCAGGAATGCCAGTGGAGGGTAAAGGCGATGGGACTTGGTTTCGTCAGGTTTCATTCTCATTGTTGAAGATTGAAGGTTATTTGGTTGAGTCTGGCCTTTCTTGAACCTTCATTCCAAACTGGAGAACCGTGGAGGTTTCCGAAGACCTCCTACACTGTAGTTCGGCAGTGAGTGATGAATGGAATCGAGGGTGCAGCCTTCGGAACACCCGCTTCGACATAGTGGATGAGTGGAATGTTCCTCCCTACACTCCAAGCAAACTAACCTTCACCATCTTCTGACATTCTTCTTTCTTATCCACTTTGCCGAAGCGAGTGATCCGCAAGACAGTATCCTCCCCACACATGCAGACGATACCTCTGCCAATTCAGGACAGAATATGTAGGTAAGGAAAACAACAGATTTCTTAGGTCGATTAGTTTGGACACTTTCTTTAGTATTAGATAGCTTATGGCATGGCATTATCGGATAATATTGATTGTTGAGATGTTAGGTCTTGTTCTATGGTTCTATTGAAGCTGTGATTAATTCAGACTGTAAGAATGAAAACTCTGGAAAGGCTTTTTTCTTAGTCACACTTAGCCCATTAACCACAATTTTTGCGGCGGTCCTGGGGCATTCCTATCATTGCGGATACAGTACTTCTCACATATGCAGATCATTTTAAACAAACCTAGGCCCAGTTTTGGACTTCAGATATCATTAGGTAAATCTCTATAGTGGTTGAAGAAAAGGATGATAAGACTCAATGAAATCAAATCCCAGAAAATAACCATAACCTCTTCTCCAATCTGCTCCCGTTCTGTTTCCACTCCTTACAACCAATGTCATTAGATATTCGAGACTTTAAGTTGAAAAAGACTTACTTTGAACCACACACTCGACTTATAATACTACTTGACAACAGATCTCTCACTCTCAAACTCTCACTAAAAACAAAAACCTAATTTACACATCCATACTACCACAATGTTTTCCAACCTCCAATGGCTCCAGTGCCAGTCCCCCAAAGCATCGTTCAAACTTCGTATCCAACCTTACTATCCACTTAGACCTCTAAAATCCATTTTTTCTCGAAACTTCAAATAGTGGATACAGACGTCTCCATAAAACACCCTTCATCTCGAACCCGACATCCTCAACTAAAGCGCCAATGACCGCGCGATGTCCTCCCTAGTAAGGATCTGAATATTCTCTGCAGTAATTCTGTGCATTTTTTTAAAGTAATACGCAGTTGGGAATTTAAAAGTGCTTATTCAGTATTCATAAATAAAAACGAAATACGTTATATTTCCTCGAGCCGATGAGTGTCTTGGAAAGTCTGCCTTCATTACTTCTCCCTTTTTATATTTATGTTTAAAGTAAGCGTCGTATAACCTTCTGTATAGCATGGTCGATCTGTAAAATTGTTAAAACCAATTTTAAGAAAAAATTTTAACGGTTTTTAAAAACTTGTCTCAGATACTAACTACAAGCGAACGAGCCTATCTTTATTAGGAACTATTTTGGACAATGAAGGAGCATTTGATAACGTTTGTAGTTGCAACTCTCTATGACAGCAGGACAGATTAAACCTGATGTTGATGGATAATACTACATTAATCATCATCTTAGCTGTTGTCCAGGGAGATTTGTCCTCATCCGTACTGGAATTATTGTAGTCTAAGTTATTTGTACTTTTCGCTGTATGAGTTAGTCTTTTTTTATATAGTTTGATATAGTGCCGGCTTTTGTCTTTTATTCAATGATGGTTGCTCTTATGTATCTAGTAGGCCCAAATTTCAAACCGTGTCTTTATTTAGGGCAACTTTTGAATAAGATGGGCCAGAATTGTATCTTACACCATGATGTGATGAAATGTTAAGGATTTCATAGATGATATGTAAAGTCAGTGAGGACTTGAAAATATAAAGAGCTTCAAAGAATGCTGAGAAGCCTTCTCGCGCTTTTTTTTAAATTTAAAATAGATAATACCATTGAAACAAAATTTTCATTGTTATCAATAAACTACTCAATAATTGTCGATTTTTAAAAAAATAGAATAAAATTAACCGAGTCGTTTTGAGCCGTTCATAGATATCAATGTTATTAATTATTAGTTTATCCTTTGGAAAATTTCAGCTGTTTAATATTGTGTTTTTTGAGTAATTGCACAATTCAACCTATGAACCCACTAAAATATACATTGTATCTGTACAAACATAAAACGTGCTTGATTTGAGAGATTTTTATATTTGTTATACACAACAATACATGAAAATTTGTTATACTTTTCTGACATAACCATCCGAGGAAGTATGTGTTCGTTTTATTTTGCTGGCCCAACAATGCTATGGAAAAACAAATCCTTTTTAATTTTGATCGCATCATTTTCCTTTTGAACCTTTTGAATACCATAAAATCATAATTTAGTAAAATATATTTCTCATCGAAGAATATCACACATATTACGGAAAAAATCAAATATCCCCGTTTTGTTTTAATCGGTTTATTCACCCGTTAATAGTACTTTTTTTAAACTGAATTAATTAATTTAACAATCTAAACATTGTAGTGAGTTGATTTTATTATTTTTAAATTCCGTATTGTCCTGTATATATAATTCAGGAGGGGGTGTAATTATTTCAAAATAAAATTAAAATAAAGTTTCTTGCGACCAAGTGCAATGTTCGACTACTTTTAATGTAACATCCCCTTGGGAGGAATGCTCTTGTAGAGCTTTGACTAAATGATCGCACGATGCACTCATACTCGTCCTCGGAATATTTTTCGACATTTGGCCACCATTAGAAGACAATTGTTTGTCTAATCTGTTGACATGAATGGTATCACTATCGCTGGAAGTCTTGTAACTGTTTTTACCGTGCTTAGCTAGGCGAGAAGACGAGAAAAAACGCTTATTATCATTTGCACTGTCGGCCTGTTGAAAATAACTAACGCCACACATTTTACTAGAGTTCGGCGAAGAAAATCTACGTGTAGGTACCCTGTAAACTCTCGAATGATCTTTTAACGGTTTGGAACACAGCGGTATGTTTTTACTGCCGTCTTCCGACGGCTTGGACGGAATGTTGCATTCCAAATTATCAGCATCGCTATCCGTTGAGAATTCGTCCACCTCGTCCTCCGTGTCGACCAGTTCTTCGTCCAAGAAAACCGAGTCCGAACCGACGGAATGGCTGTCCTGCTCGATGCTGGGTAACCTGCAGCTGCTGATGGACGCCAGGGGCGCGGTAGCAGATGACCTCGGCACGCACAGCATCGGCCGCTGTCCCATCGAATCGTACACCAAGACTTGCGATTCCGCCGGAGACATCACCGGCGTCGGTTGTATCACCTGAAAAGCAATTTCACCATTACTAACTTATATATTTCTAGTGATTGGACATTCGTTGTTTCCCGACAAATGGACCGTCTTTCCAAATAAAGATCATTTTTATTTGCGTTGTGACCTATGAGGTTAGTGAGGGTAAAGGAGCTTTCCTTGAAGATAGTGAGGTCAGTGATTTAGTAAAGAAGCTTTCGTTGTAGATAGAAAGGTTAGTAATTAAGTAACTGAACTTTCGTTAGAAAAGTTAGTGATATAGTAAAGGTGTTTTCGTTGTGAATAGAGAGGTTAGTGATTTAGTTAACGTGCTTCGGTTGTGTATAGTGAAAATAGTGATATAGTAAAGGAACTTTCATTGTGAATAATGAAGTTGGTGATGTAGTAAAATAGCTTTCGGTGTGTATTATAAGGCCAGTGACTTAGAAAAGGAACTTTCGTTGTCGATTGTCAGGTTAGTGATGTAGTAAAAGTTCTTATGTTGTGAATAGAGAGGTTAGTGATGGAGTAAAGGTGTTTTCGTTGTGAATAGAGAGGTTAGTGAGAAAGTAAAGGAGCTTTCGTGGTGGATTGTGAGGTTACTGATGTAGTTAAGGTGCTTCGGTTGTGTATAGTGAGAATAGTGATATAGTAAAGGAACTTTCGTTGTCGATTGTAAGGTTAGTGATGTAGTAAAGGTTCTTATGTTGTGAATAGAGAGGTTAGTGATGGAGTAAAGGAATTTTCATTTTGTATAATGAAGTTGGTGAAATAATAAAAGAGCTTTGATTATGTACAATGAGTTTCGTGATGTAGTAAAACAATTTTCCTTGTGTATAATGGAGATAGTGACGAGTAAAAGCGTTTTCGTTGTGGATTGCAGTTAGGAGTTATAATTGCGGTATCCCTCGCGTAGGGTTGGTCAACATTAGATTGTCCTCGATCCTTTTGTCTAATGCTTCAGGCTTTTCAACGAACTGAACCCGCTTTTAATTGATTTAATCTCAACTCAAGAACAAGAGTTGAGATGGGAAGTTGATGTCCGAGTGGATCGAGGTCACGATAGCTCAGGTGGTAGAGCAGCGGCGTATCTAGCCGAAGATCGTGGGTTCGAATCCCGCTCGTGCAATTAACTTTTTTCATCTCAACTAAAAACGTTAATTAATTGTAATGATTTAATTGGTCAAGCGGACCACGAAATTAGTGAATTTAGTGTAGAATGTTGGTAAAATGATTTGAATTTAAAGAAGTAGGAGACATATTTTTACAGTCATGTAGAGACAAAATCTCCGCTTCATACTTGTATGTCGATCGGGTAGTAGAAATCCCAAGGCTCTTCTTCGACAAGTCTGTCTTTGTTCGCGGTGACGAAAGGAGGCGGTATCGGACGGCCCATCTCGATCGCTGATCCTCTCCTTTCCAGGTAGCTCGTATCACAACTAGAGCATGTGATGGAACTGAGCCTCCTAGAGCTCCGTCGGCTCGACGGCACCCTCAACAGGTTCTGGGATCGACGGTACGATTCGAAGTCTTCTTCGTCCTGAAAAAATCGTTTAAAAACATTTCAAAATGCCGTTAAAACTAAATACAGATAAGAGATCAACTAATTGAAAGAAGGCCAAAAACAGCATAACACAACGAGCTCAATTTTGAATATTAATGTTTATTTAAAAACGATCGTATACAATTATAATTTATATCGCTCTCTTTTCATCCTTTACCAAAGAAACAGCAGTAGGGACCATGGCAGTTTTAATTAATATTTGTAAAATTAAATGCATCCTGTTCATTTTATTGCTTCCTCAGGCGTCACCCAAGGTTCACACCTTGGCCACTTTCAGTTCGACATCAAGAGATTGCTTCTTTTCTTAAAGACACTATCTTCTATGTGCCAAAACCTTAAAATCTTTAAGGTAAATTTCACTCTGTTTGGGCCTCAATCGCGACACGTGATTTACCAGCAAATGTATGACCCTGAACATTGACAAATTCAGCAGTATTTTATTCAGCAAACATCATTAAATGTCTTATGTTTACTTTAATCAGTAGAGTCAATAAATTATTGAATTTTACATCCAAGCAATTACAATGTTCCATTTTCACCCACGTTGCAAAATCGCACATCCATGCAATGTTTTTAAACATTTCTAATTGTTGCAACGAAATGATCGTTTGACCTATGAAATGTCACTAAAACGTGTAAAAAAATAAAACATAACAAATGATCCAAAACACTGGGATTTATTGAGAATTTATAAATATTTTATAAACTATTAAGTCTCTTATGAAAACGTTAAAATTAAAAATCTCTGATAAAACTTTAGAGGGTTGTTATTTAATTGTTCGTAAATGGTTTCTAATTGTTTTATTTTCGGTTTAATTGTTTCTAAAGCTCTTCGGTTGTACGGAAAAATAGATATACCAATTTCTCTTCAACCATTTATGTGTAATGCTTTTTTTCGTCAAATTAATCATTTTTCATTTGAAATTACCCCTTTTAAACTACAAATTATTTAATTTGAAATGAACCATTTTAAACTTCAAATCACCCTTTTTAATTTTGAATTAAACTTTATTTTCAAATTAACCCTTTTTACCTTCAATTTACCCCTTTTAATTTCAAATAAACCTTTTTAAACTTTAAATTACTTTTTTCATGTGAAATTAACCATTTTAAGCTTCAAATTACCCTTGGTATTTTAAAATTAATTCTTTTTTACTTCAAATTACCTTTTTCAATTTCGAATTAACCCATTTTAACTAGAACGTTCGAGATTAGGGATGCGGTCATCAAATCAAGTAAATTTTGTAACTTATGCTAATCTTTCAACATTTATTGAGGTCTCTACAAGTAATTACAACGTTTATAATTAATGAATAATAAGTAACACAATAATTGTCAGATAACAATTGATAACTTACTCGTCACAATAGTAAAAGTAAAATATTATAATGATAGCGGTTAAAAATAACAGTACATATATANTTAGGAATGTGTGGACTCAACAATTGCCCCTTCTTTCAATTGTTCCCATTAGATAAGCTTGCTATTCGTAGTTAGTTACAGGACAGTTAACGGACAGTAAAGATCCGAATATTTAATTGTTATAGAATAATCTGTACCGTGAATAGGAAAGTTTTTCTCTGTAACCATTGTGTGTTATTTGGCAATAAAGATTCTTTTTTAAAAAGTCTTTCCTCTAAATCTCGCACATAACTTTATATATATATATATGCCCTTCTGGTTATGTTTTAAAAAATATGGTAAAATTCCTGCGTCATGGACCGTTTTGGTAAAGCCCAAGTCCTGACCTTAATGATACAATAATGTACACTAACATTTCCGAACTGACGTTTAAACACCTTACAATTCATATACAAACAACCCACGGTTCATCCTTTTCCAAAACCATTAGCATTATTAAACCTTCGTTTAGATTAATCTGTTATTAAACCTGAGAGCATATGCATATTTTTCTTTAAAAGATATAGTAAAGGTGGTGTTTTTCTCCTTAAATCGCAAGTATTTTATGTAATGTATGTCATTTCATCCCCTATGTTTGATTAGACTTTTCTCCTATTAGAGAAATATGTACATAAAATATTCACAATATGGTGTTTCTCTGTTCAGAGTTACAGAAAGATTAAAAACAAGGAGAGAACAATGATGAAGTAAAAAAGCACTTATTGCGAAAGGCAATCAAAACGAAAAAATCTAAGATGCAAATTTGACAGACTTTTTTGAATGGACTAAGCAGCGCATTGTCACTGTTTTCATTCGATCGCTTTGCTACTATGAGAAATGGTATGTGAATTATAAACGAAATGCGTTTTTTAACAAGTCAACTTGAAAGCTTTCGATAAATGAGTCGTGATGCCCGAGGGTTGACGGTTCCATCTAAGAAGCTTCACAGCCAAAGCGAAAAAAACCATTCCATGAATGTAAGTTATAATCACATTACGTACGTTTTCTCTCGTAGCTTGGGCATTCGTTAGTTCTAGATTGTAAGGAGTATCCAGTCCTGAAAAGTTTAAACAAACGTCATAACGTCCCTCGTGACAATAGGAAAAAGTACAATGTCAGAGAGAAAATATTGAATATTTGTAATACAGTGGACATAGGATCTCGAATGGTTTTAAGGTGCGTCGTTTCAAGTATTTTCCATCATGAATAATTTTCCAAGTTATTTATTAGACTATTTTTGAAGGTGATTTGTTTTAATAATGCAATCTATATAGCGTTTTTCCGTCAAATTAATCTTTTTTGCACGAAACTACCCCCTTTAATTTGTTATTAACCCTTGTAATGTTCACATTAACCCTAATTTAGAAGGATTAAAAAAATAAAAGATTCTTCGTTCAATTTGAGAACTTTAGAAATTGTGGTTTTTAAGAAACTTTTTAACTTTCAAGTTAACCCTTTTTAATATCCCTACCCTAACCCTAAATTTACCCTTACTTTCAAACATCAAAAAACGTAGGAGAGGGTATGAAATGTAAGAACGTAAAATAAAATTTACATAGCTGAATACAAAAATAAATATAAAATAAATAGGTTCTTAAGAAATCATATTAAGAAAATTAATTACAATTAAAATTTAAAAAATACATAAGTTAAATGTAAAAATAAATGATTCTTCTTTTACTTTAAGATTTTTTACAATAAAATAATTGTACTAATAAAAAGAACAATTCCTTATATTTCTCAGATTAAGAGAAGAATCAATTTTTTTTTTCAAATGTTCTTTTACGTGCTTCCATTACATAACATCTGTATGATTTTTTGATGCTTTAAAAAAAGAGTTAATTTGGATTTAAAAAGAGGTAAATAGAAATAAAAATGATTAATTTGACAGTAAAGGAGATTATTTGAATTAAAAATGGCTAATATGAATGAAAAAAGGTGAAATTGGGGAGTGTTAATTTTATTTTGAACATAAAAAAAGTTAATTTAAAATTAAAAGGATTAATTTGAAGGTACAAAAGGGTAATTTGAAAATAAGAAGGGATCATTTTATTTGAAGGTGCTAAATATTAATTTGAAATTAAAAATGGTTAATCTGAAGGTGGAAAACGTTAATTTGAAATTAAGAAGGGTTAATTCTATTTGAAGGTGACAAAGATTAATTAGAAATTAAAAAGGATTAATTTGAACGTGAAAAAGGTAATTTAAAATTAAAAAGGATTTATATGAAATTAAGAAGTGATCATTTCAATTAGGTGAAAAGGGTTAATTTGAACGTACAAGAAGTTAATTTGAAATTACGAAATGATCATTTTATTTGACTATGAAAAAGGTTAATTTGAAATTAAAAAGTGTTAATTTAACGTTGGAAAAGTTTGATTCTAAATCAAAAATGGTTAATTTAGTGTAAACTTGATGAATTTGAAATTAAAAGAGTTCATTTGAAGGTAAAAAAGGTTAATTTAAAATTAAGAAGTGTCAATTTCATTTTGAACGTAAAAAAGGTTAATTTGAAATAAAGATGTGTTAATTTTATTTACAATGAAAAAGTTTAATTTGAAATTGAAAATGATTAAATTGAAGGAAAAAAGGTTACTTTGAAATTATTTTTTTTAATATTAATTTCATGCGAAAAAGGTTAGTTTGCGGAAAAAAGCTATACACATAAATTGCGTATGTAGATTTTATTACAAAAACTTTTCTCTATCTACGGACACAATCGTCGCGATCTGCTCCAGGAAGTGAAATTTGATTCAGAAAAACGACAAGAGGGAGAATTTTGTGTTGTAGTATAAAGGACTTATTCCTGATTTAAATAAATTTGTCAATTTCAAAAATTTTCAGTATTCTCATAATCTATTATAGAAGCCATTGAATAAAAATTTTACCGTTCGTTATAAAGAATATTAAAACCTGAATTACACGCAATCTCTTTAAAACTAACACAGCTTGAACTTCACCCCGGACTTTTCTGCTACGCTATCGAAAAGAGGCAATTTTCAACGTGAGATAACTGCCATAACAAGAATGGACATTAGTGAAACGTTATATACATCTTTCTTCCCTATCACCATTTCGTGTTGGAAAGATAAGCAAGAATGCATTTACCTTCCCATGATGGCGATTTAATCGCTTCGACCTATGAAACGACGGCTAAAATACACAATCGGACAGTCAACATTAAAATAAAGCAAACAGTTTATACAGTTTATGGAAAAAAACAAATGTCTAAAGTATCATTTTGCCTGGTTAGGATATTATAACTGAGCAGTTTTTGTCAAGAATTTTGTGGCATTTTAGTTTTGAATTCATTTTAAAAATAAAAATTTGCTGCCGAAAACAGGATTGTTTTTTTAAGACCTAACACATTCACAACGTAAATAACAAATTATTATTATTATATACAATAACAAAAGTTGCAAAAAAAACATATTAAACAAATTAAAACACGTAGGCGATGGTATGAAATATAAGTATGAAAAGTAAAATTTCTATATATTTGAGATTTTTTAAAATGAGGAGCTCATATATACCAAAATAAAATTAAATACAAAAAATTCTTTTAAGTTGAGGCTATTTTATAATAAAAAATAAATTGGTCTCTTAAAAACCCTTTCTAAATTCAAATTAACCTTTTTCGCCTTCAAATGAAATTAACACTTTTTCATTGCAAATTAACTTTTTGTACATCCAATTTAACCCTTTTTAAAATCGAATTAAACTTTTTTCCCTTCAAAATAGAATTAACGTTTCTTAATTCATAAAATCAAATTAGCACTTTCTTTAAAACATCAATAAAACGTACAGATTGTATGAAATGGATGTACGTAACATTAAAATTCTTGCTTTTGAAAAAAATTAAATATAAAATAATTGGGGTTTTCGAAAACATTGTGAAAATAAATAATTGCATGAAATAAAACATGAAACATATTGTTTCTTCTTTTAATTTGAGAAATGTAAGAAATTCTGGTTTTTAAGAGTCTAATTATTTTATGTTTAAATAAAATCTCAAAATAAAAGAAAAATGGTTTATTCTTATATTTAGTTTTATTTAATTAATTTTACTACCATTTCCTAAGTGCCCAGTATTTACTTTTTGTTTTCAATTGTATAAATTTTACTTTTCGTGCTTACATTTCGTACCATCGCCAAGGTTTGTTTAATGTTTTAAAGAAAGGGTTAATTTAGGGTTAGGGGAGGGAAATTAAAAAGGGCTAATGTGAAATTAGAAAAAGTTAATTTGAAAGTAAAAAAGGTTTTTAGAAAACACAATTTGTCACATTTTTCAAATTAAAAGAATCTTATTTTTATATTTTATTTTATATAATTTTTTTGTTAGTTTTTAAAAGCTTTTTTTTCAATGCACGAATTTTTTAATTCATACCATTTCATAAGTTTTCATTGTTTTAAAGAAAGTATTATTTTGAAATTAGAAAGAGCCATTTTAAGTTTTAAAAGGGTTAATTTGAAATTAAAAAGGTTACTATGATGTAACAAGGGTTAATTTGAAATTAAAAAGGGTAAGTTTGGTTGGAAATGGTCAATTTTAAATTAAAAAGCTTTATTTGTTTAAAAAAAAACTATAATGCGAAAATGGACAGGTACATGACAAAATACTGCTTGGTATTTGTTTAAATCTTATTATTCACAAAAAACTTTACACAGCTTTTCCTTTTCAAATCACCCACCCGATCACCAGTGGTCCTTTTTTGCCAAGTCAAGCCTCGACTCAGTCCGTCGGACTGCTCATGTAACTTGCCTAGCAAAATCCATATAACTCAATTTCTACTAGATATTTCAGCTCAAAGAAACCGACTCCTCATATAAAAATGTTTTTCCATTGCTACTTCCTTCTCCACCCCTTCAAAATCCTACGTATATAAACATAAAACATCAGTATCTCACTGGCACTCTCAACAGGACACACAACAATGACACATCTACATAGAAAACAAACACTTTTTGTGAGTAAAAATACTTTGAACGAGTCTAAAATGTTTAACATTGTATAAATTCGTTTTTTTATCTAAAATTTTCTAGCACTGTATAAATTTTTTTATTCTCAAAATTTTATGGCATTGTATAAATTCATTTTTTTCAAATCCTACATGTATTTGTACAATTTAAACAATGTTTATAAATCCCAGACCCTGAAGATGATCTCAATAAAGATCGAAACGTTGGCACGATAAAGAAAATGTTTTTCTAAACCTACGTCACACCAGACCGCATACTTCAAACACCACCTTGGAATCTACTTTCGAATTTCAGACCCTCATATTTGCCTCCGTCTGGAAAATAAGAAATTTCAACCGCTTATAGAAAAAGCAATACGTGTTGCCACAACTTATCTGTGCGAATCCGGATTTTATCTACACAGCCACCAGAACTAGACCAGACTCGACATCCTTTTCCAGCTATCAAAAATATCAACAAAAAAACCAACAAATCCAAATTGTGCAGGCTAAAACAACCTCACTCTTCTCATTAGTTCATTAATAGTTAAAGTTAAAATTATTACTTTTAAATTTGGCTCGGGTTTTACCTAACTATTAATTCAGTTCTGTCTGATTTGATTTTTGTGTTTCTAATTTTGTAAATAAAGTTAATTACGTCAATCTAATGTTTGTTTTCACATTGATATCCCCCTACATCACCTAATTAGGAATGGACTGGCTAATTTATCTAATGTATCTAATTTTAAATACTTGAATGAGAGGGTTCCGTCCTGGATTTTGTTTTGTAAAAGGGGTCCGATGGCTAAAACGTTTGGGAAGCTATGCTTTATCCTAACTGCATTTATAGTTAATAATAATTTTAGAAAAATTCTAAAATGTTTTACGTTCCAAATAGAAAGACTGAATGATCATTTTTTTCGAAGTTCACAAAAATTGTGGTATCTTCTTGTGAGCAATAGGATAGTTAACAACAATTTAGAACCATATAAACTGCATGTGTCTAATAGTTTTCATCCTAGTTACCACTAAACCAATTAAAATCCTTGATCCTACGTCTGTAGAAAAACCAAAAATCCTAAATGAAAACTACTGACAAATTTGGCCCTTATTGTTCAAAATCCATAAATATGAAAATACCAAATTTTGTCTATTTTTTGTGTCTTTGTAGGGAAAATCGTGGAAGTACGCCAATTAAGTGCACGGGATCCTTGTAAACTTTTAACGACGAGTAATAAACTTTTATATGGGATACGAAAAATCCCTGTGCAGTTGGAAAAACATTGACAAAGATGTGTGACCTGTTGTTTCATAATTTGTTGAAGTCGTGAGTAGCGGACAAGAATGAGGTAGTTTAGAAAAATACCTTTTCCATTTTTTGCCGGCGTTTCGTCCTTTAGTCGGGTCATCTAAAGTCATCTATTGTAAGTTGGTCATCTAAGTCCTGGGTAAATTACAAAACATATGTTGATTGGAAAAAATTATCTCAAATTATAATTTTTCCAATCAACATATGTTTTGTAATTATCCCAGGCCACGAAGATGACCCGAATAAAGGTTGAAACGTCTGCAAAAAAAATGAAAAAGGTGTTTTTCTAAACTACCTCATTGTTGACCGCTCATCACGACTTCAACAAATTATTGACAAAGATTTTATTTGAATATTTTACTATTTCTTAATTGCCACTACTCCAAAGTACAATTTTACTACAGAGTACAAGGTACTGATACCAAAACGAGAAGAAAGTGCCAAAGGAACACACCGCTAAAGGCAAACTCCTATTGGTATACTGACGGTTCCAAAACCGACAAAGGTACGGGAGCTGGAGTCTGGGATGACCACAAAGACCGACCTGACGTAGGTAAATATGCTACAGTTTTCCAGTCTGAAATCATAGCGACTGAACAATGCGCCAGAAATATAAAAAGGCTAGGAATACATTCCAGGAAGATAGCCATTTTCTCTGACAGTCAGGCAGCACTTAAGGCCCTAGCCATGCGACACTAATGACCTGACCCTGGCACTAGAGGCATTGAGGGAATTAAAAGGTTGACATACTGGCCAAAGATGGGGCCAACATAGACTCCCTAGGTCCTGAACCATATTGTGTCTTAGCATCCTGCCACAAAAGAGAGGATCGTAAAATGGAACCTTAAACCTGGTGGAACACCACAGGAATGAGGCACGCGAAGAGATTCATATATTGACCATCCGCAAACTTACAAAAGAATTACCGGAAGGTAACCGCAACCGAACCAGGATTCTGGTTGGACTCCAGACAGAGCACTGCCACTTATGAAGGGACATGCATAGGAGTACAGAAACAATAACAACTGTGCACATACTGCCAGGAAAGGAGAACGCAGAACACATTCTATGTTTCAGTGAAGGTCTATGTAGGTGCAGGTTCTTGCAACTAGGACAAAAAAAATGACAAGCAAGATCCAACAAAAAGGAGCTTCTGGTAAAGCTATGAAGACTGACTAATAACTTGAAGCTGGCCAGTGAGTTATAAGTAGCAGCAAAAGAGATCTATTCAGGTCGAGGTTCAGTAGGACTTGTGGCCGCCTCTTTTATCCTTATTTCTTGATTTCTAGAAATAAAAATCGAATAGGAAATTTACAGAAACATTCGTTAAAAATGACTTGAAACGTTTAAAAAAAGTTACTATTGTATAAAATCAAGGTGCGCTGGGTTAAAATTTGGGAAGCCTTGCTTTACCTTATCTGGTTGTAGCATAACAACATTTAGAGATTAATAATAATTTTTAAAAAAGGATGACCTCTAGGCCTAGGAACTCTCACAAATGCACACAATTATTTTTATTATAAGTCGTTACCTCTCTGAAAACTTTGGGTGGCGGGCTGTCTATGAGGTGCCTCGGCTGGAAAATGGTCGGATAGACGTATGGCGAGGATGTCGGCAGGCTGACCCTCCCCCGGAGCGAGTGGCCGAGGCGGACCGGGGGCGTGAACATGTTGTACCCTCCTCCGACGGACGAGAACCTCGTCGGACGTTTCGCGTGGAAACCGTGGATGGGAATGTGCGGTGTGTAGAATTCGTGGGCCTTTTCGAGAGAATGGGCGAACTGTTCTTCCTCGACCACAGCAGCCGCAACCGTCGCCTCGAGATTCTCCTCGCTGATGGATCTCGACTTGCATTTCGTCTTGTAGACGACCAGAAGGACCATCAAGCTGAAAAATCCACCTAACGTCGCCGCTATTCGAACCTGGAAGCAAGACGAGTCTCGTTATCAGGAGTTTTCAACGTTTATAAATAATCTGCTGGATTACTCGGCGAAAGAGCCCTTTCCGCAAACCGGCGAAACGTGCCGTTATGCAGTCTACTCAATTATTCGACGATACGACGGTTACATACTCTATCAGTAAATATTTACTTCTACCTTCTATTAAACTATGTATTGCCTTTCGGGGATAAGAAAAGGTTGTCAACGGATAAAGGGGGAAAAACCTTTTTCTTCTAAACCGCAGAAAGGAAAAAAATAGAAAGGGGATAGATAGAGAAGATAAGAAGTTTATTTAAGATTTAAATAAGGCTCAGGCAAATTAAAAGTGTAGAAAGAAGGAGGAAGAGGATCGCCATTATAAAATGCTTCCTGTTACTCGTAGGTACATTATTATTTCATGTAACAACTTTCCCATTTCTCGAGTACTTAAGTTTTTAGTACAACAACATTTATAATAATACGTTAATAATAACATTTATAATATAATGCCATACATGAAAAAGTTATTTCAAAAAATATCTTTCAGAATTGTTAGATAAATGAGAAACTATTGGCCAAAACAATCTAACTCATGAGTTATCCAAAAACTGCTAGACTTTTCGTCAACGTGGAAAAACGGCGGGGTTATTTCCCTTCGACATATCTTCTTCAATTCATGCTGTATGGGCGTAGCTGGAAAATGGGATCTCTGCCTCTACAAAGAAAGTTTCGTTCGGTGTGTGAATGAAAACGTTTCCTATCGCTGGATCGATTTGGGTTTTGAAAAGTCATTCAACGAAGGCAAGGTAAACGACTTTTCACCCGTTAAATTTAAAACAGAGAAAATATGGATTTTTTACATGTGAAATAAAATTTCAGCGAAACACGATAAATGTAAAAAATAAAACGAGAATAATAAAATTTTACTGTATAAAAAAAGACAAAAATTGGAAAATGCACATGGTTTGGTTCATAAGTGGGATGAATGATTTATAAAACGATATTAATTTATGGCAAAGCGAAATCTTAAATGGCAGCTCTCTCTATCTCTCCCCCTCTCTCTCTCTCTCTCTCTCTCTCTCTCTCTCTCTCTCTCTCTCTCTCTCCCCTCCCTCTTCTTTCTGTTTCTTAACTCATTTTTACCAATTATTTTACCGCATTCTCTTTCTACTTCTCTCTCACTCACACTCTCACTCGCTCTCTCTCTCTCTCTCTCTCTCTCTATCTATCTATCTATCTATCTATCTATCTATCTATCTATCTATCTATCTATCTATCTATCTATCTATCTATCTCTCTCTCACACAAACACTCTTTTGTGTCCCACTACTGTAACCCTGCATTGAGGAACTTTGCTGTTTTTCTTTTAACCCATTCCCCTCATGATTACAGGTTTTCTTTAACTCACTAGACCGCATCCCACGATCTCGAAATAATCAACTAACGGTAACTAAACACCACACATTTACTCACGTTTTCTCTAACTTTGTATTCTAGTAGTATTTTCTTTGTTCTTTACATTTGACTATTCTGTTCAAGGTTGTAATTTTATTTACATTGCATGCAATAAATTAATTACTTATGATACAATTAAGGTACGTATAATTTTTAAAGTTTATTGATATTCAATGAATTAACGAAATAAAGAAATCTCTCTCTATCTCTCTCTCTCTCTCTCTTTCTCTCTCTCTCTCACTCTCACTCACTCGCTCTCTCTCTCTCTCTGTCGTTCACTTACTCACTCTTTCACTCACTCACTCGCTCTCTCCCTTGCTCGCTCTAGTTTTCTCTCTCACTCTCTCTCTCTCACTCTCACTCACTCGCTCTCTCTCTCTCTCTCTCAAACTTGCTATCTCTCTCTCTCTCTCTCTCTCTCTCTCTCTCTCTTTAGCTCTCTCTCGCTTCCTCTCACTCTCTCTCACTCACTTACTCGCTCTCTCACTCATTCACTCACTCTCTCTTGCTCGCTCTAGCTCTCTCTCTTTCTCTTTCTTGCTTGCTTTAGCTCTCTCACTCATTCTACTTTCCACTCTCTCTCACTCTTTCTACTTTCCACTCTCTCTCACTCTTTCTACTTTCCACTCTCTCTCACTCTTTCTACTTTCCACTCTCTCTCACTCTTTCTACTTTCCACTCTCNTAATTCAATAATATATCTAGAATCCTGTCTTTCCACTCTCTCACTCTCTCTCTCTCTCTCTCTCTCTCTCTCTCTCTCTTACGCAGTCACTTACTCGCTCGCTCTCTCTTTCTCTCTCACTCGCTCTCCCTTCTTCTCACCCTCCTCTCTCTTTCTTAACTCATGTTTACTAACTATTTCACCCTATTCTCTTTCTCTCTCTCTCTTTTCTTTTTTTTTTTTAGTTATACATTGACTCGATAAAAACCCCATTATAAATGTCTTCAAATCTTAAGTAAAGAGCGACATCGTATTACACTGGTTTGTATTATCCTACTCAATTTGATGCCACTGTTTTTAACGTAATTACAAAACCATAAAACGATATAAGCAGAAATATTGTGCGGTCCGAAACTTGTCATAACAAATTAACAAAAATAACTAAAATCTGTGGCAAAATCCCTCTTGGTAATATATGAAAAAATCGAAAGACGTTTTCAAGTGGTATGTTGAAAAAATATTGACAAACAATACTAACAAATGGATTAGTCTGCTTGATGGTCGAAAACAGATTTTATCCCCTTGCAATCATCTCTAAAATCTTCCAAACTTCCATGGGAATGAAACCTATTCTAAGAGACATCAATGCAAGAATCTTAGGGAGGCATGAATTTACATGTTTCCGAAGGCTTTACACCAAATTAACTCGCAGTTCCGTTAAAAGCACTTCGGAAATTACAGTTGCCCGAGGATTGAACTACTACAAAAATTGCCGGATGTGAAATCTGAGGCAGTAACCTCCCATGTTTTCCGACAGACGGGTCGGATATTGGAAAAATACACGGGCCTTGGGGTAAGTCAAGAGGTTTATCACCTTCCGAGCAGTAAAAGCAAACAAATTGCTCTCCGTCGAGAAGAAAAACACTAATCCCGAATCTTCATTCCACCCGGAAAACAGTCGAAAATCTGGACAAAGCTGACAAAACACAAAAGCCGATGTGACTACGGACGACTATATCTAGTGAATAAAGGGAAAATCTCACCAAACGAGGCTTAGAAATAGCAAAACCAGTAAAAAATAATTTAACAAAGGCAAATAATCCAGGTCCAATATCACGATTATACTTAAATTAAATAAATGATTTAAACGATAACCCATTGTGGAAGGAAGTTTACTTAGTGAATTGTAAAAATTAACAGCTCAGACAGATTAATTTAAGCGTTAAGGAAGAAAAATAAAACATGGCATACTTTCATAAATAGATTGATTATCTGGAATTTATATTAAATAATAAAATTATGTCAGACTCACTCCTGTCATAACGTCGTAGGTTTTGTAGAATTCTATCCGAATCTGTTCGGCGCTTTTCTCAGTCGGCTTCGCTTCGGCGGCATTGTTATTTGTTGTGCTGTTGGTGGTGGTTGTTGTGGTCGTGGTCGTGGTGGTCTTCTCCTCCATTTCACAACCCCGCCCTTTCTAGAAAACAAAAAATGTAAATATTTCATATATTTTTTTATTTTTAACTGTTGAACATGATGTGAGTTTATTGATTTACGGTGATTGGCTTTTATGAAATGTGCGTAGTTTCGTTGGACATATGATATGGATTTTTTCCCAGGATTAGGGATTGGGAAATTTCCAATTCGAACACACTGCGTTCATTCTCCTACAAGACTCGGGACGTGGGATGGCTGATTTGAATTTTTTTTAAATTTCAACGAGGTCGAAAAATTGATTAGACACGTCCCCGAGCGCTCTTGCCAATGTGCCAATAAATACAAATTTTAATTGCAAACCAAAACTATTCATTTTTGAGATTGAAATTAGCCAGAGGCATGTTTCTAGCTTCCGATGACACCGCGTTTCACCTAAAAAACGCACAATCCCCCCGAATTTTATCCTAATCCAATGTTATTACAACAATTAATTAAGGTTTTTAGTTGAGATAAAAAAGTCAGTGTCACGAGCGGGATTCGAACCCACGATTTTCGGCTAGATACGACGCTGCTCTACCACTAGAGCTATCTCAAATAAAAACCTTAATTAATTGCAATATATTAATTGGTCAAGCGGACCACGAAACTAGTGAATTTAATAAGTAAAAATGAAGTATACCTTCACTAAAGCTCTCCGTGGCCATTTTATTTGTCGCCGAGAATCAAACAGATTACACGACATTTGAAAAATGGCAAAAAGGAGGGAAAATTCAAAAGGTGGGGTTGAGATAGGAAGTTAGTGTCCGAGTTGATCGAGGTCACGATAGCTCAATTGGCAGAGCAGCGGCGGACCTAGCCGAAGATCGTGGGTTCGAATCCCGCTCGTGAAACTGAATTTTTTATCTCAACTAAAAACCTTAATTAATTGAAATATATTAATTGGTCCAGCGGACCAGGAAACTAGTGAAGTTATTTCAACAGTTAGAAAACTGAACTTTTCTACTTTGGGTCTTCTAAAAATGTTTCGATTTTATATCATTCTAAGTGAGAAAAATGAAACCTAGAAATTCTAATCACAAGTTTATTTATCTTAAGTACTGATTTTTTCAAGAAGTCCTGATTTACGTTATTATGTGTAATTTAAATGGTTTTAAATTCTTGTAAGTTGTCGGTAGTTTGATAAACGTATTCCAAGTTATTGTCTGTTTTGTGAATTTTGATAAGAGAGGGCATTTGGATTGATATAATAAAACTTTGTATGTAAATATATTCTTTTTGTTTTTAACAGTTTTCGGGGTTTTGTTTGGTGGTGCAGAAAGCGAATATCAGCTTTTTTTCTTGTTGAATAAAAAATTTAATGCGGTTGCCACACGGGCACCTGTTTTTAGGCCAAAGACGGCGCAGGTTCCCGTTAATCCTTTTGTAGAGAAATGGTGCTCGATGTGTCCACACAATAGAGGCGTGTTATGCCTTGCTCCACAGAGAGCGTGTAGGCAAGCCGCCGGATTTCGGACACGGTAGCGAGTTTCAGGGTCCCCTGTTGGGGGAATTGGGGATTTTTTACTGTATATAGCCGTCAAAATATGTGCTTTGTGTTTCTGTGTTTTTTTAAATTAGTGAGTGTATTTATTAGAGTGAATGGGGAGGGGCTGATGGTGGAATAGCATCCTCATCGCCCCACGAGCTGTGTACTTGGCTTGAGTCGATGGCGGAATATTTATGAAAGTACCCCATCGACTCAAATTACATTAGTTTGTTATTATATGCAGGTTGATGGGGGAATATTGAGTACTCCATCTACCAAATAGAATGAATGCACTGTATATAGGTGTGAATGTATTTATTTGTTGCGTGAATGCGTATTGAAATTGTGTTTTATATTTCCAATGCGCTCGGGGCTGACATGACCAAGCAGTCGGATGCTCCTTAAAAAATATGTTAAAAAATAAATAAAATTTTAAAAATTTAAAAATATAATGATAAATAAATAAAAAAATTTAAATTTTGGCTAGTCGGTCAAACAGAAAATAGACACCTGTACGGCTGGATTGGCCGGAGGCCATGATTTTTTGTCCGATGTCTCACATCTGTCTTTCACGCGCGCGCGCTCGTGTGTGTGTATGTGTGTGTGTGTGTGTGTGTGTGTGTGTGTGTGTGTGTGTGTGTGCGTGTGTGCGTGCATAAAGATATTCTGCCTTCATAAATTAGAAAAATAATGATGTAACTTACAAAAACTTTTCAAACGTTTTATTTTTCAAACTCAGGTTCTCATCTTTTACATAGCCTTAGTTTACTTCATTACGTTTAGTTAATAGGGTTCCAAATTTTCCTTAAGTTTCCTATTGATCGGAGGAATCCTTTTAAAGTTATCATCCATTTATGTGATTTTGTTGAAAAAATCGTAGTGTAAATGTAGGACCAAAAATTCGATAAAAAAATATTTTTGAATTTTCATCGAAATTTGTATTCGGTGATTTTCAGAATGCGAAAAACGAATATCAGCTTTGTTTCATGTTTAGCAAAAATATATTTTCACCTACTTTACTACGGCCACATGTCCGCACAATCTTCCATAATTAATTTTATAAAATTTAAAAAAACCCATGTACCCTTGAGCGTTTTCCAATCGTATTTTTTCTCGTATTTATTTTATTAGTTTTTATAATAAACTGGCAAATAATGTTCAGACTGTTGAATTTTGAATTTATTTTCACACATTGCAAACGATCGAATCGTGTGGATCTACCTTCTCGTTTCATTCGATTTCCTACAAAATCGTTCCAGTCCCCTTGTTTCTGTAGGTTTGATTTTTCAGAAGGCGAAAAACAAATATCAGCTTTGTTTCATCTTTAAAAAAATATATATTTTAACCTACTTTACTCCGGCCACATGTTCACATAACCATCAATGATTAATTTTTTAAAAATTAACAAAAATCCATGTACCCTTGAGGGTTTTTCAATCGTATTTTTTCTCTTTTTTGTTTTTTATAACAAATTGGCAAATAATGTTCAGACTGTTGAATTTTGAATATGTTTTCAAACGTTGCAAATGATCAAATCGCGTGGTTTTGATCCCAAACGCTCAACCTTCTCGTTTCATTCGATTTCCTAACAAAATCGTTCCAACCCCCTTCTTTCTACAAGACGGTCTCATTTCAGTGTAAATTGAACGAGTCATCAAGTATCAAACTGTATGTAGCACGAAAGTTGCATTGCAAAACTACCCCAAAAACGATTGTATTCAATGCTATCTGATTAATATAAACTACTTTCAATAAAACATAAATTCTGCCAAAAAAATTTATCCAATTTGATATCTTTGCCATGAAATATAGTTTAAATTCTAAATTTCTTAATTTCACATCATTCGCATTTATTGTTGACGTGAATAAACAATAAATTTTTAGTTTATATATCTCTTTTTTAGTCAAATTGACCCGTTTTAATTTCAAATTAACCCTTGCTTTAAAAAATAAAAAAAACCTATAGATTTAGTTGTGTGACGTTATAAACCCATTTCGGTTCTTAAAGTTTCCATGAACGCCAAAAAAACGTTTTTTGTCAAACTGTAGACATATTGGGAGGGGGGCGTCGGTGGCCGCAACGGTTTAGGCGTTGACACAGCGTTCATCGCTGTAAGGTAAAGGTCCCGGGTTCGAATCCAGCGGCCCTGCATTCGAACCCGGGACCTTTACATTACAGTGATGAGCTCCTAAACCGTTGAGGCCACCGATGCCCCCCCCCCTAAATATGTCTACAGTTTGACATAATTTTTTTTAATCCAGCGGCCTGCATTCGAACCTGACATACTTACAAATGGACTTTATTTGAAAAACACCGGCACCCCGAGGGTTGATATAACCTCTGTTGTTGCGAACCCTCGTAAAAAAAAGACATATTTAAGGTTGTTTTGTAAGTTCTATATAGGTGTATTGATTGTTAAATCAATTGTAAAAATATGTTTTTCATAAATTAATATAAGCCCTGATGATGACCTTAAAATAGGCCGAAAGCTTGGAATTGGCTAAATTTGGTTTCTTCATCTTCAAGACCATATCTCGATCCAGAGTGTCGGTAAAAGAATAATATTCTCAGTGTGAAAAATTTTACGTTTATTCAAGTTGTTTTTCATTGTTTAAAAAGGTAGGGGAACCTACGTTGCTGTTTTTAAATATACCGGGACTTTTCATAATTCTAACTCAGAATCAGCATCAAACTAGAATATGCTTTTCTTGTAAAGTACGGATTTTTATTTGCAATCCTAAAAGTAGAATTGTAATTTATTTTTCCACTGCACAAAACATTTGTTACACAATCTCGTACTTTATCAGCTGAATTTTCTATTTTTTATTTTAATTTTAGTTTTTTTAGGGTTCGCAACAGCAGAGGTTATATAAACCCTCGGGATGCCGGTGTTTTTGAAAAAAAAGCCCATTTGTAAGTATGTCGGGCGCGAATGCAGGGCGCTGGATTGGAACCGGGGACTTTCACCTTACAGTGATGAGCGCTATGTCAACGCCTAAACCGTTGCGGCCACCGACGCCCCTGAATTTTCTATTCTCCTCGCCATTAATTTCTCACTTGATCTTTAACTTTACAGTTCAAACCGAACACGCGGCTTTCCATGGGGCAAAAACTGACGCGAGACGTAAGGCAAATAAAAATCCAATGCCGAATTCAGTTTAAGAAGGGCCGACGAGGACGTAAAATCTATTATCAAAGGGATTTTCCTCGCCTACACAGTGCCAAATAGAATTCCATTTAAACCCGATCCCTTTGTAACACTCGGAGATAGATTTGATCGTTTAAAGCCCGCCGTTGCGTTTACAATTAACGTCAGCAAGTGGTAACGTGCTAATTGGCCTTTTATTTCTACGAGGAAGAATGACTCCGATCGATTTCAAAGTTAAACGCTGAAATCAACTCTTTTCTCGTACCCTTTTCTCTTTTCAATTTCAAATTAACCCTTTCTTTAAAGCATTAAACAACTTAGGAAATGGAACGAAATGTAAGCATTCAAAATAGAATTCCTGTATAT